AATAAAAGATGGAAGGTATTTTTGGCTTTATCTGACGACATTGTCATAACGCATTTTGACATTTTTAAATGTATTTGAGATGAAATGGAGATTTTGGATTTTGGCATTAGAGAAAGAACTTGAATTTCAGCCAGTGGATTCCCAAGAGAAATAATAGTGATTCATATTGAAAATGTTACTGAACACAGGGTCAGCTGCTAGCAACTCAAAAGCCAAACTTGAGAGACAAGGGTTGGTGGGAGGAAAAGTGTGTTTATTTGGAAAGCCAGGAAAAACAAGAAGATGGTGAACTAGCATTCTAAAGTATCATCTTCATCAGTACAAATTTCAGGTTCTTTTTATGTTAAGGGCAGGGGAAGGGAAGGGGGTTGGGATCAAGAGGTAATCAATGAACACAGTCATCTGGGTGCCAGCAAGGGGCCAGGGATGTTGGGAGCGTCTTTGTCTTTGGTCAGGTCACAATGCTCCTATAAATCTTTAAGATAACATAATTGTTTACATATTTCTCTTTTAATCCCAGAGTTAGCTTTAAAAACTACATTCTTGCTATTTTTGTATTTTATTTCAGTGCTCTAAAATTATCCCTGCCTATGTGCCAAACCATTTGACTTGGCAAAGAGCTGATATTCAGGTCCTTGTAAGAAAATGGGCTTGACACAGTAGCTCACATCTGTAATCCCGGCACTTTGTGAGGCTGAGGCAGGAGAATTGCTTGAGTCCAGGAGTTTGAGACCAGCCTGGGTATCATAACAAGACCTCGTTTCTACAGAAAAATTTAAAAATTACCCAGGCATGGGCACATACCAGTGGTCCCAGCTACTTGGGAGGCTGAGGTGAGAGAATTGCTTGAGCCCAGAAGTTCTACACTGTAGTGAGCTGTGATTGTACCACTGCACTCCATTTTGGGCAATAGACATTCAAAAACAATTTCAAGTTCTCCTCATTGACTTCACTGTTAGAGGGTTAAAACGTCTTTACAAAATTGGGCATGGTGGCTCACACCTATAATCCCAGCACTTTGGGAGGCTGAGGTGGGTGGATCACTTGAGGTCAGGAGTTCGAGATTAGCCTGGCCAACATGACAAAATCCTGTCTCTATTAAAACAAAAATTAGCTGGACGTGGTGGTGGGGACCTGTAATCCTAGCTACTCTGGAGGCTGAGGCAGGAGAATTGCTTGACTCCAGGAAGCAGAGGTTACAGTGAGCAGAGATCGTGCCACTGCACTCCAGCCTGGGCAACAACAACAAAAAGTCCTTACAGTGGCTACACAGGTTATAGTTCATTACAGTGTCGTGTTAGACCAACCATACTCAACCATAATGTTATGTATGAACGTGTTTAACCAACTGAGAGGTGACTTGCAAGTGATCTGTTGCAAATAATAAAATACCAACATTTATGTATGATATTTTATACATAAATTACTGTATACCCTAGATAGGCCCTATCAATCTATTATTATTATTCCTTGGAATTTGTTATTCTTTCCAAATTAGAGATGAAAAGTTATAGCTACAGATAATTCTGTAGGAAATGTATGCCAACTGACACCTCCCCTGTCTACAATATGGTCCATAGTTAGGAAGTACCCTTAGCTTTGATGGAAATTTTGAATTATTTCAGTGCTTCATCTCTCAACGATTTGAAGGTGATGATTTTTCAAAATGTAAGTATGCCTGTAAGGATATGTTACATCTGTGAATGTTAATATATATGTTAAGACAGAAAATAATAAATAAGTACCTCAAATTCTAGAATGCCTATTAATGAACATAATGGCATCAAGAAATAAATTTCTTTAGTTAGTTGTCTTAACCTAATTCCCTGTTTCTGTTATTTTGGGATTAGAAGGAGAACCACCTTGAGGAAGGGATGTATCAACTTAAAGTGAAGATAAAAACTGTGAACTCATTTTTTTTATTTTGGGTTTTTTTTGCGGGGGAGGGTTGTTTGTTTGTGACATGGTCTGACTCTGTCACCCAGGCTGAAAGTATAATGGTACAATCTCAGCTCAGTAAACCTCTGCCTGCCAAGCTCAACCAATCCTTCTGCCTCAGCGTCCCCAGTAGCTGGGAATACAGGCACACGCCACCATGCCTGGCTAATGTTTTGTAACATTTTTGTGGAGACAAGATCTTACGATGTTGCCCAGGCTGGTCTCAAACTGGTGGGCTCAAGCGATCCTCCAGCCTCATTCTCCCAAAGTTCTGGGATCATGGGTGAGAGCTACCACACCCAGCCAAGAGTAGCCAACTCCTAAAATTTTCCCCTGCTTCCCCAAGAGGAGGAGAACTTGTGACTGAGCCTTAGGCATTATCAATAAATGTAAGTCAAAATTTTGTAGTTATTTGTAGACACTTGATAGGTTTGTACCTCAAATATTTTCCATTCTCTGTGGGTGGAAAAAAAGACGAAAAAGATTTGATTTCTAGGGAAAATGGTATTGAAGGGGAATTTTATCTGCGTTTTTATTACCAGTATTCTGAAGTTATTTGTGCAATTTTTTAAAAAATTAAAGGATCGGCCGGGCGCAGTGACTCAAGCCTGTAATCCCAGCACTTTGGGAGGTCGAGGCGGGTGGATCACGAGGTCAGGAGATCGAGACCATCTTGGTCAACATGGTGAAACCCCGTCTTGACTAAAAATACAAAAACTTAGCTGGGCATGGTGGCGCGTGCCTGTAATCCCAGCTACTCAGGAGGCTGAGGCAGGAGAATTGCCTGAACCCAGGAGGCGGAGGTTGCGGTGAGCCGAGATCGCGCCATTGCACTCCAGCCTGGGTAACAAGAGCGAAACTCCGTCTCAATAAATAAATAAATAAATAAATAAATAAATAAATAAATAAATAAATAAAAATTAAAGGATCACAGTTGTTATATCAGAAATGTTCCCTCCTCGCCTATTGCGTGTCTTGCCCTTTGGTCTCTTCCATTTTTTTTGTCTTTTCAGATTTAATGTTGCTACTCCCGTCAGCATTTATCCCTTTCCCTTTGATCCATCCCATAAATTACCCCCTGCCCTTTGACTCACGTTGATTTCCTGTGCTTCTCTTTGCCCTCTAAATCCTGTCCCTTCTGCAGAATCCTTGAGATCAACAGTGAGATTCAAGTGGCAAAAGACAATGAGTTTTAAATGTCAAAGGTTCTGAGAAAAAGAAAACTTTAAAGGTGTATTTTGAATCAAACTCTTTTTTTCTTGGTATTTTTCTACTGTCGTAAGACGTTATGATTTCAAAGAACTAGAGATCTATTTTCATCCATAAAAGATGTCTCATCTTACACAAAGGTCCCCAAGCTTTAGGAAACACTGGGCGGTAGCAACATAGGCTTTTGAGAACACAATAAATATATCCAAGTGAAAACAAATTGTTCTTTACTTTTCCATAATTTTCAATTGCTTATGATTACTACTTAATATTTATTGATGTTTCAACTGAAATTTTACTGTAGATCAGCCAGCTTCCTTTCATACTAAAAAAGCTAGTGTTTATCAACCACTTACTATATTCTTGACATTGCTCAAGGCATTGGGAGATATACAAACAAAAAATACATAATCTCAGAGGTCTCAGTCAAATACGAAAAGCAGATCTATAAATATGTAAGCAGCACAGTGTAATAATACATGTGTATTCCAATATTTGCCAAAACAATGATGAAACCACGGGGTTAGAAGATCAGAGATAGATTCGACATGGGTCCTGCCCTTAATGAATTTACATTCTAGCGAAGAAGAGAAGATAGGTACATGACAAATGAAACAGATGAGAAAATGAAACCTTGTTAAATTTTCTAAAAGGGGCTATGAAATTTTGGGAGAGAAAATTTTATTTACATCTATGAGAATCAGAGATTTCATAGAGACAATGATATGAAAGCTAGACCTTGAAGACATAGCAGTGGGAACTCTACTGTTTCTACTCAGTATTGCCGTGGCTAAGGCGGGCGGATCACTTGAGGTCAGGAGTTCGAGACCAACCTTGCCAAAGCAGATTATTTAATCTGTCCCTTCTTCTGCTCACAGTAGCAACTGCTGTTGGATTGATACACACTAAAGAAGTTTGCCTGGGCTCCGCCCCAAAGAACTGCAATTAACTTTCACAATTCAGTTGGTCACAGTTAGGTGCTGTATTAGACACTCCTCAGCCCACTTACCACCCTGGGTGAGGGAATGAGGGAAGATGTCTTTTGCAGAACTTTCCTGGAGACACAGAATTTCAGGTTCTCCTGATAATAGACTAAACCAGTTTTTAGGGCATCCTCATTAGGCATATGCAATGGCATGGGAAATGGGATACAGAGATCTCCTTTGAGACACTATTCATACTACAGCTTGCTAATCAGGGTGCTCCAATATACTGGTAAACTGCCAGTGGATTACAGGCATGCTGAGAGATACTGATCTCCTTGGTATCCACAGCAACCAGGCTGGCTTGTCTGCAAGAGTTGCCTCCAGCCTTACCTTCTTTGAGAATCTTCAGAGAGTTGAAGGAACATGAGCAGAGTCAGATACATCGCAGAGGTTCCTGCAGGAGGCAAGTAAGATGATGACTGTCTGGTACTTACTGCTTTACCAATCACAGAGCATAGCCAAAAAACATGCTCTTGGCTGGGGGCAGGGGTTCCCACCTATAATCCCTGTACTTTGGGAGGTCATGGTAGGAAGTTGAGGCCGGAAGGCAAGAAGTTGAGGTCAGAGTAGGAACCTGAGGCCAGAAATTTTATTTTATTTATTTTTTTTTTCAGGGACCAGTATTTATTATCAAAGTCATATTCGATGTCAACAAGATGCCACAACTACAAAAAAAATTGCGCACATTGCAATCTCAATGCAAACAGTCAAATGGAACCCCAGTCATTAAAAAAGTAATTCAAATTACCCCAAAAAGCAACTGAATTTTTTAAACATCTTTACACATCCAGCCAACAAATTAAAATGGTTAACAAGAAAAAATACAAATTCAGAGGTCTGGTTTCGATGTTTAAAAAAGGCAACTGCTTAAGCATTTCTATCGATTCGAACGTCAATTTCTCGGCCACTGAGCTTCATGCCATTCATCATCCGGCAGGTTCTCTCAGCCACCTCTGGTGACTCGAACTTAACCACACCACACCCCTTGGACTTCCCGTTCTCCATCTTAATGTCGGCATATAGCACGTGGCCACACTCGTTGAATTTGTCCTTTAGCATCTTCCATGTGAAATCGAATGGGAGATTTCTCACAAATATCTGGCAGGCCTTCCTGGCCACCCCAGGAGCATGGCCTCCAGCTCCACCAAAGGAACCTGCGAAGCTTCCTCCAAAGTTGCCACGCTCCATCTCGATGGCGCGGTCAAAGCTGGCACCGCCACCGCCACCCATGGCCAGGCCCATGCGCTCGATGCCAGCTCCCAGGGCCGGGCCCATGGCAGGGCCCATGCGCTCAAGGCTGTTGGCACCCATGCGCTCCAGGCCCATGCGCTCCAGGCTGTTGGCGCCCATGCGCTCCAGGCCCATCCGCTCCAGGTTGTTGGCGCCCATGCGCTCCAGGCCGGTAGCCATGCGATCCATCACGGGGCCCATGCGCTCCAGGCCAGCCTCCATGCCTGCGGGCACCATGTGCTCCATGCTCAGGCCCATGCGCTCAATGGCAGGGCCCATGCTCCACGCCAGAGCCCATGCGCTCAATGGTCTGGCCCACACGGTCAATGGGAGCGGCCATGCGCTCGAGGCCGAAGCCCATGCCGGCACCCATGCGCTCCACGGAACCCATACGGTCCATGACCAGGCCCATGCGCTCGATCTCAGAGTCCACGCGATCCATGCCGTGGCCAAGGCCTGCGCCCATGCGCTCCATGCCTGCACCCCCGAGGAGGTCAATGCCAGGACCCATCCTCTCGATCCCAGGGACGCTGCCTCCACCTCCACCTCCTCCCTGCTTTGCAATGATCTCTCCTCTCTTCAGTGCATTACTTAGGATTTCATTTATCCTGCCCATGTTCATCCCAGATCCAAATCGACCCATGTTTTCCATACCACCACCAAAGGGCCCCTCCATTCCTCCCATTTTATTTATTCCAAATCCTATGCCTTCCATTCCCATTCCGGCGGGACCTATGTTTCCCATTCCAATGCCTTTATTCAGGTGATTGGCATCAATGGGTTGCCCTCCTGGTCCTAACCCCACGCCAATACCACCAAGGCCATGGGGAAGTTGTTGTGGACGCTCAGGAGGGAAGAAATCTCCCTTTGGTAAGGCCCTCTCATCCATCTTGACATGCATTGGTCTATCAAACAGCAGCTGGCCATTGAACATAGATACAGCTTGCACGGCTTCAATGGACTGTTCAAAAGTAACAGTGCCTATTCCACGACTTTTTCCATCTTTATCCTCAAGAATGTTTGCTCGGACCACCACACCAGCCATACTAAATACTTCCTTTAGTTTCTTCCAGCCAACTTTATAATCCAGGTTTGCTACAAATACTGTGCTTCCAAGTCTTCCAGCCTGCAATGCATGGATAATCTCATTTGGGATGTTGGGATTATTTAGGATACTGGGTGGGATAGTAATCATTCCTGGGCCACCTGGTCCCATACCCATCCCACCAGTCGTAGCCATCACCTTTTGCATTGCTCTCCTGGCATGTTCACCATCAGGATCTTCTTTGACTTTCAGTGGTCTTCCACTCAGACTATGCTTGTTTAGGACTTCCGCAGCTTTTTTCATGCTCTCTTCCATCTTGAATTCAACAACAGCACATCCCCTTGACTTTCCTTCAGCGTCCATTAAGAGCTCCACGTATGTTACCTCACCAACTTTTTCTTTAACCAGGTCTTTAAGTGACTGCCACTTCACATCAAAAGGTATGTTTGTAATGAAGGCTCTGTATCTTTTAGTTGGATTGGCATATGGCTCAAAGCGATTGCCTCCTCTTTTTATGTTTTTTTCCTTCCTCTTCTCATTCTGAGCAGGTCGTTCTCCTTCACCCTTAGGGCCCGGAGCCCCGTTGCCGCTCGGCACGCCGGCTGTGCCGCTCTCCTCCTCCATTTTGATCTCCGTCGCCGCCACCTCGGCCGCCGCTTTGACCCCTGCCGCCATTTTCTCCGCGTCTGGGCTTTGTGTTAGGCCAGAAATTTTAAACCAGCCTGGGCAACAGAGAGAGACCATCATCTCAAAAAAAAAAAAAAAATTAATTAGCCAGGTATGGTGGCACATGCCTATGGTCTAGCTACTGGGGAGGCTGAGGCAGGAGGATCACTTGAGCCCAGGAGTTCAAAGTTAAAGTGAGCTGTGATTGTACCAGGGTACCTCAGCCTGGGCAAAAGAATAAGATCTGTTTCCCCTCCAAAAAAAAAAAAAAAAACTATTACTTGGATATTGACTTTAGGAGCCAGCTCTCTACATTATTTCAGAATAATAGTAGAGGTACATTTTAAAGAATGTGCTTTTTAGAGTTGTCACTTAGAACACACCAATACCGATAAACATCTAGACGTATTTAATATATGCAACAAAGACACCAATTCCGATGGGCATATAGATGTATTTAATATATGCAACAACAAAGATTCAACTACTGTCTGCCCAGTGCTTGCCATCAGCCTTGTTACCATCCTCTGGCCTAATCTTGCTGGCTGGAATGCTCTTAGGAACCTGTTAAATAAACTCCTCCTGCCATGAACCCTTTGTTCCAGGAAATTGGATGGGGACTCCTGACAGGCACTGGACAGTCAGCACTGAAATCTCTGTCACCACATAAGTCAGATACACCTTCCTATTTGCTGCTAATGGAGCCCAGCAATGCAAGTGCTTTCTGCAAAATTTTGCTTTATTATTATATTGAAATACCTGGTATGGAAAAGTTTTATAGAAATCACATCATAAGAGATCTCTGTATTACATTTAAAAGGAGAAGATAAGGAAAGTCAGTTATTTCCAATGTAATTCAAGTGTTTTAATTATTTTTAAAAATTGTGAAGACTGGTTTAAATTTTTGTCATGTGTTTCTGGGAAGAGAATCTATTGTTGAACATAAAAATATTCAAGTGTTGGGGGAAAATAGGGGAGGGACAGCGGGGTTTGGGGAGTTGGGGAGGGATAGCATGGGGAGAAATGGCAGATATAGGTGATGGGGAGGAAGGCAGCAAACCACACTGCCACGTGTGTACCTATGCAACGATCTTGCGTGTTCTTCACATGTACCCCAAAACCTAAAATGCAATAAAAAAAAATTCAAGAGACTATTATTGAAAAGTCTTAATCAGAAATTACATAAAGTCATTCAACTATAACACCTAATATTAAAAACTTGTAGTCCTAAAAGCAAGTTTAAGGCCTCATTAAAAATTATGGAAATAGAGCTTCAATAGCTGAATACATGGACTTTCCTGGAGGGTGGTGCACCCAGGGTGGTTACGGACGTTCCATTCCCCTTCCCCCATATGTATGTATGTATTCTTTGTAATATCCTTTATAATAAACTGGCATTTTAAAAAAATTTAATATAGAGAGAGTTGTGTGCAGTGGCTCACACCTGTAGCCATAAAGCCCGGCCGGTAAACGTTTTTTACGAGGAAGCTAAAAACCTAGAGGGAGAAGTTTGCTTTATTGATATTGTCTTCAGTGAAATTCCAGCGCACTATTACGAAGAATCAGAGGATCCTAAACACTTCGAGTCAGAGAAGACAGGACGGGGACAGTTAAGGGAAGGACGAATAGGCAGACGTCAGCCCATCATATGTTCCTACAAGCTGGAGACAGCGAGTGAGGTTGGAGGTCTGGAGGCTTCAGACCAAAGTAGAACAATCTGTCCACAAGTCAGTCAAAGACGACACAGGCTTTTGCATGGGTTGATGAACGGTAGATGACAATGGATGATATTCAGGAAGGTGGAAAGACATGCATGAGCAATCAACATTTCTCACCTGCAAATGACATACTGAGTCATGTCCAAACAAGCATGTGACAATTGACGAAGTCCGAGAATTTGAATGAGCTATTCAGAAAGCTACCAAGAAGAAAACTGGCATTGTCCCACCTGCAATTTCCATCTCAGACATTTCCCTTCTGCCTTCTTCTGGCCACTAGAAGGGGAGTATGGCCAGAAAAAGGCAGTAAGGGAATGCTTGAGACAGAAATTGCAGGTGGGACAATGCTAATCACCCCTCCGTCCACCCCTCACTCCATCACCCTCGATCCACAAATGTATCTGATTTGCTGTCAGGTCCCAAATATTGGCCCCAGAAAAAGTCTGCCCCGGTAATGTTCACGCTTCTAGACCCCAAGAAAAAGGCCACCCTGAATGTACTTAGCACATACTCTTCAGATACGTCATGTCAGCCCAAATCAGAGTAACTTCATATAGATATCTCATGGGATTTCATATTTTCATTTTGGCTTTCTTTTAAAAAAAATCTGATATAGAAAAAGATGCCTTGGGCCAGGCGCGGTGGCTCACTCCTGTAATCCCAGCACTTTGGGAGGCCGAGGCGGGTGGATCACGAGGTCAAGAGATCGAGACCATCCTGGTCAACATGGTGAAACCCCGTCTCTACTAAAAATACAAAAAATTAGCTGGGCGTGGTGGCACGTGCCTGTAGTCCCAGCTACTCGGGAGGCTGAGACAGGAGAATTGCCTGAACCCAGGAGGCGCAGGTTGCGGTGAGCCGAGATTGCACCATTGCACTCCAGCCTGGGTAACAAGAGCGAAACTCCGTCTCAAATAAAAAAAAAAAGAAAGAAAAAAAAAGAAAAAGATGCTTTGTCACAGAAACATGTTCCTTCAACCATATGCACAAAGAGTGTGCATATGATTAAGTAATTTCACATATGATTCCCTAAGTAGGCCACACAGCATCACATAAGATATTAGCAATAAGACTTGCAAGGAACAGAAGGAATCTTCTGTGGCCCTAGCAGTAAGCCTGGGAGGAAGCCGTGTTATTGGGCATGTGATAAGGTTGGCGAGGACTTCAAAAATAAATAAATGAAAACTTCGCACCACCTTGTTACAAGGTGTGGTAAAAAATAGTAAAGGTGGCCAGGTGTGGTGACTCATGCCTGTAATCCCAACACTTTGGGAGGCCAAGGTGGGTAGACCACTTGAAGCCAGGAGTTCAAGACCAGTCTGGGCAACATGGCGAAATCCCATCTCTACTAAAAAAGAAACTTCAAGACTGGGAACGGTGGCTCATGCCTGTAATCCCAGCACTTTGGGAGCCCAAGGCAGGTGGATCACGAGATCAGGAGTTCGAGACCAACCTGACCAACATGGTGAAACTTCATCTCCACCAAAAATACAAAAATTAGCTAGGTGTGGTGGTGCATGCCTGTAATCCCAGCTACTCAGGAGGCTGAGGCAGGAGAGTAGCTTGAACCTGGGAGGCAGAGGTTGCAGCGAGCCGGGATAGCACCACTGCACTCCAGCCTGGGCAACAGAGCAAGACTCCATCTCAAAAAAACAAAAAACAAACAAACAAAATACAAAAAGTAACCGGGTGTAGTTGTGCATGCTTGCGATCCCAGCTACTTGAGAGGCTGAACCCTGGGAGGTGGAGGTTACAGTAAGACAAGCTTACACCACAGCACTCCATCCTGGGCCACAGAGTAAGACTCTGTGTCCAAAAAAAAAAAAAAAAAAAAAGTAAAGTCAATTTCCTCTCATCAAACCTGAAATGCTCCAAAATACTCTCAGGCATAACATACTTAATTGTTAAATTCTGAACTGCTGATCAACAGTATTTGAATACCAATGGTTACTAAGGTCCCTATTTGGTTAAATGTGACTCAAGATTTGGGGCCTAATTAACTCTTTAAACTTTTGAAAATTTTAATTATCAACCGTTAGAGGCTTTAAGCCCAATTAATGATAACTTAATTTATATTTTCCCCAGAATTTAATAAAGATTCCACTCAGAGTAAAAAAGAAGAGAGTGCACAAAAGTATTGGGTTAGAAATTGAATGGATTTATGGCAGTGAACTGCTTGCTGCTCCATAACCAGAAATGATTCATTTGGCTGAGGATGCACTTATCTGCAACGGGTAAACCAACACTGTGGAGACGCCTGGTCTTGAAGACCGACAGATTGAGCTCAAGTCTAGCTCAAAAATTTGCTACCTGTATAACTAACGTTGACCACCACCTCCAAATGTCAATTTCATTAATTTGATTTACCTTTTATTTAATCAATCAAAAATACTTATTGGGGCACCTTCTCTGTACTGGGTATTATCCGAACTGCTGTAAGTTTAGCAATAAAAGATCCCTGTCCATCACAGAATTTACTTTTTAATTTTTTTTTTTTTTTTTTTTTTTTTTGAGAGAGTCTCACTCTGTCACCCAGGCTGGAGCACCGAGGCATGATCTTGACTCACTGTAACCTCGACTTACCGCATTCAAGAGATTCTCCTCCCTCAGCCTCCCAGATAGTTGGGATTCCAGGCACACACCACACATTCCTCTAATTTTTGTGTTTTTAGTAGAGGTGAGGTTTTGCCACATTGGCCAGGCTGGTCTCAAACTCCTGACCTCAAATGATCTACCTGCCTTGGTCCTTGATACAGAGTAAGTGCTCACAAATGTGAATTTTCTCCTATTTCTCCAATATACTACTTTTTCTAAATTCATAAACATCTCAAAGGAATAAAAGTTCCACTTGTTTCTTTCTTTTAATAAATAAATAAGCCGGGCGCGGTGGCTCAAGCCTGTAATCCCAGCACTTTGGGAGGCCGAGGCGGGTGGATCACAAGGTCAAGAGATCGAGACCATCCTGGTCAACATGGTGAAACCCCGTCTCTACTAAAAATACAAAAAAGTAGCTGGGCATGGTGGCATATGCCTGTAATCCAAGCTACTCAGGAGGCTGAGGCAGGAGAATTGCCTGAACCCAGGAGGCAGAGGTTGCGGTGAGCCAAGATCGCGCCATTGCACTCCAGCCTGGGTCACAAGAGCGAAACTCCGTCTCAAAAAATATAAAAATAAAAATAAAAATAAATAAAAAATAAAATATATGTCTCCCAGTGCTGTGTAATTTCTCTTCTCTTCATAATCATTTAAAATAAAAAACAGTGAATTGTCCCTCAGTCTTCATATACACACCCTAAATCTCTTTCAGTGCAC